AATTAAATTATATATGGTTGTATATTTATTAGAAGGAATGTTTCATTGATTGATTTTATCGTATGAATGTTTGCTTTATTTGTTGTGGATAAAATTAAATGTCTAACCCCATAAATATTTCAATCCCAGATGTTGGTGACGTATGATGCAGGAATACATAGTCCAAGAGATAGATGTCAGATGCAAAAAATCCAAAGCTTAGGTTGAGAATTGTATAACATATAAGTATAACTTTATGACTTGTAATATTTTGAAAACTTTGTACTAGAACTTGTTGCTTAATTTAATATAAAACTTTACCTAAATTAATTGTTCACTTGATATATTTTCTATTAACCTTCTATGAGTATTGAAAAGATTACTAACTTAGTTAATAAATTAGGATTAATAAATGTAATCTGTAAGGGGGTTACAATCCCTACCTCAGGTTAATTGATGACCTCAATAATTGGGGGAGCCACCCTAGTTCTCTTTATAGCTTGCTCCAAAGTTCAGGCTTTAAGCGTAATTCAGGCTTTAAGCATAATTCATGCTTTAAGCGTAGTTTAGGCTTTAAGCATAGTTCAGGTCTTCTTATAATCAAATTTAAGGCCCATGTTCTCTACAAAAAGCTCAAGTCAGAAATAACTACAACAAAATTTTATTTCGAAAAAAGTGAAATAAAAATTATTAAGAAACTAAGCTTTGGGATCCTTGGTAAACGGGAGAGATAGAATATTTCTACAAATGTTTAATACGAGATTTAAATATATAGGGAGTTGGTTAGGGGTAACACACAAAACAAAGAGCATGTTGCATTCAAAACTTGTAAAAGGAACTTGAATATCTAAATTTTTGAAGAAACATTTGTATATGAAAGTAAAATCTTCACCGTTCAAAAATTGTTTCATGAAAATTTGACTAGAAGAATCATAGGGTCCAAGATTAACATATTTTACATTAGAATCACAACAGACACCATAAGTCTTACAAGTATCTTCCATCGAAGAAGGACAAATAATGGACAACTTTCCCAAGTACCCAACTGTTTTCAGGGTCAGAGATTGGAGAAAATTTACCCCTCCTAGTTCCTCTTATAGAGGAACTTGGATCCATTAAAGGTTTAATTGAACCATTAGATTCACAAGAAGAAGAATACATAATAATGAAAATGTACGTTCCGAAGAGTGGGATTTAGATTGGAATGCTTGATGAAAAACTAAAAATATTTGGATGCTTAACAAAGGACTCAAGAAAGTGAAGAATTGAGAAAAGAAATTACAATGAATGATAAAAGAAAAACAAAAGTTCCAACCTAATCTCGGACATTGTTTTTGAGGAAAATAATATATAGTTATTACTAATTTAAACATCACAGTGTCTTCATAGGTGGAACTTCCTCTTATTTCAAGAATAATTATGATTTATCTCGTACTCAAGAAAATATTTGTTCATGATCAAATATGATTGTCTAAGTTATTTATAGTCAAAGTCAATAAATATTAATCGTGAAGTTATTTTCATTCATTCTACTTGTATCTCTTCTTAAAAAAACATTATTATTTTAATATATATATATATATATATATATATATATATATATTATATTTGTCATATAGCTTATCAAATTCATCATCTTTAGGATTTTCTAACCACTTTTAACCTCATCACACAAGTTGCATTCAAGAAAATATTCTGTTGCATCTTTGCATTACAAAAAAAAAAAATTAGAAAAACTTGTAGTGGAGGTGAATTTTTCAAATAATTTCGATATTAGCCTTGTATTAAGTGGGATGTTTGATGAATTCAACAAAACTAAATCATGTTTTTATTTTTTATCATTAATGATTAATTAATAGGAATATTTCATTGCTGGTATTTCAATCTACGCAATGCACATGTTTTTTATTTTATATATTTAAATTCAAAAAATCTTTTGGTGATAATATTATTATAATATTACTATGAGATATAAAATTCAAGATAAAGTTGTTTAAAAAAAATCAACTTGGATATAAAAAATAAAAATTGAGATAAATCATGAAACTAAACGTGTGTTTAAAGAAAGACAATATTTCAATTAAATAGACCAAGATATGCATGCCTAAAGGGAGTATCGATAAAATGGAAAAATACTTGAAAATGTTTGTTTAAGTATCGAGAAATATGAAAATGTATGAAAAGATCAGCAAACATATAAAAATTGAAATAGTTATACAGTGAGAATGTGTTGATTATAATTCACCAGATACTCCAAAACCAATCACACCTTTTGTGGATAGCGTATTAATATATAAAAATAAAGATAATTTGGATATATTAATAGATAATATCATTTCCAATTTTATTTGTTACTCTTTTTTTTTTTTCATTTTTATGATATGTATAGTTGATTTTTTCACCCCTATTCAAGATGATTGTTTCACAACTTAAATTGAGGCATTTTTCTTATCTTATCAAAGTTTCCATTCGTTCACATCTCACTGTAAAACCTAATCATTAGTAGACTTTGTCAATTAAGTAAGCAATCCAATTTGAATTAATCCTAAGTAAAAATTTTAATATAACCTGATGTTATGTTAAGTAATCGAGTTAATGAACTAATTTTAACTTGATTGAAAATTAAAAATAATTATTAATGTATTCATATCAAAATAATTAATTAAAAATATATTTAAATAAATTGTTAAAAGGTTTTTTTTTAGTAATTTATTCATAATAATTAATCTTAATCATTAAATCTTAAAATAAAGATGATTAAAGATGGTTATTTACTTCTTAAAATAATTTTTTTATAAAATTAATTTATACTATATATATATATATATATATTAATAAAATAATATTATTTTTATTTAAAAAATAATTATTATTTTATAAAATTGATCATCATTATAAGTTAATTTGACCTAAATCATGTCAATTATATAAGATAAAAATAGGTCTAATTCAAATAATTTTTTTTAATCTAATATAACTTACTCATCATTCTTCCATGTATGCCAATCAAGATTATAGATAAAAAATCTAAACCCTAACTCCAAGAACCTAAACTTATTTTTATGTTTGCATGTACTCACTTAAGGGTTAGAAGTGTTTCAGTTCATTTTATTAAAAGAACGTTTTTGTTTTTAAAATAAGGACTGCCATAATATGATGGAGCAGAAGTCAAATATAAAGGAAATAAATTAAATACAAAAAAAAAAATAGATGAAGAAAAAAAAACACATGATATGTCCTCTTCAACATATTTTTTTTGCCTTTACAATAATATCTTAAAGAATTATATCTATAAGAGATTCTTTTGCAATTTTTTGTATCATCGAAGAGAGAAAAATGAAAATATTATAATTTAAAAAATAATTATTGTAACTTATATATTTAAAATAAAAAAATATATAAAAAATATGATATATAATTAATAATAAATAAATATATTTAAAAAAATCAAAATAGAAAATAAAATAAAATTTTAAAATAAGGTAATTATAATATAAACACCTAATATTTCTATTAATCTATAATTGTATATAAAAGAGATTTCTTTTATAATATTGCTTTTGGTCATTGAAAAGAAAAATAAAAGTATTATAGTTTAATATAAATTTATCTATTTAAATAATACTAAAAAGATAAGAAAGTGGAAAAAAAGTAAAAATAAAAGTGAATATACTTAAAGAATGAAAAATAAAAAATAAAATAATACTTAAAAAAGTATGAACACGCGCCTATTTATTGGTGTATAATAAATTATATATATATATATATATATATATATATATTTTTTTTTAATTTTTATGTTTGAAATGATTTAATTTGCTAAGAAAAAAATGTAATAAAATATCTTCACCAATTTCATACTAATTGGGGATTTTTTTTCCTAATAATTTTATAATAAAACATTTGGCTAAAATAAATAATAGAAATTCAATAAATCTTCTGAATTCTCAGATGTATTTAATTGTTCCTATTTCTCTTCTTAAACAAACCTCGAGTCGGTGATCTTGAATTTTCTAAACCTTGAACATATATTGACTTCACACAGACAAAAATAAAAATCCTTTATTTTTTTTTTACTTATTTTTTAAAGTTAAGTAAATAACACTTTATAAGATAAGAAACTAAACATTTTATAACATTTTACTTACAATTATATTTAAGCACAATTTTAAAAATAAACATCATTACATATTTTAAATCTATTTCTTAGAGTTCAAATAAATTACCCAAACCATAAAAGATTCAGTGTGGTAGGAAGCAACTAACTAATTCTTCCAAAAACACGAGTTGTGATTCCAAATTTGACTAATAGAGGATCCTTTTATTCGTTTTGTATAGTTTAATTTCTCTGAAGTTCTGCATAATTAAGTAGTTGATTTTCTGGAATTTTGAATGGTTGAATGGTTGATTTTTTCTGTATGGTTGACCAGTTCTTCAGTTTTTCTTTTCTTGCAGGTTTTGATCAAGTTGTTTCATTCCCACCTTGAGTTCATGTTTTGAAGAACTGGTCCAAGTCAGAGTAATTGGTCCCAATAACATACATTAATCTATTGATTGTGACAGATGTAAATTATGAACTTCTATTCAAGTTTGGCTTCAAAATTACAAGCATGATTTTGTTCCTTTATCTTTTCCCTCTTTGAATCACTGGCGGTTGGAATGGTCGATCAACTTTTGAAAGGGAATACTTTTCAATTTCACATTGCACTCAGTTTTTAATTGAAATCACCCCCTTCTGTTTATAGATGAATACATTGCATAATCACATTCGGTAGCTTGGTATTTTAAGATTCTTTTCTTTCATTTAGATTACATTATCCAACTGAGTGTGTATTCGTGTGTCTGTGATATCATTCAATAAAAGTTGTGTTGCATGCTTCCTTGCTCCATTTGAATTAGGAAATCAAGATTGTGTGGTGTCCCATTTCTCCATTTTAATAACCTTTCAGGAATATCTTGCCACGCACAGGAAAATGCTTGATCAAAATAATAGCACCTCTTGGTTAAAATGCCTGAACAATATGAGTGAGATGGTTGTGAGGAATCATCAAGGAGGTGTGGCTGTGGAAGTTGGTGGTGAGGAAGGTTATGCAGTGCGTAATGCTCGAAAAAAAGAGTTAGTTGAAGTTCCTTGGAAAGGAGCCCCAACCATGGCTCATCTGTTTGCGCAATCCTGTGAAAAATACAGCCACAATCCATTTCTTGGAACAAGAAAATTACTGCAAAAGGAGTTTGTTACATCTGGTGATGGCAGAAGGTTTGAGAAGGTTCACTTGGGACACTATGAATGGAAAACCTATGGAGAGGTGTTTGCTTGTGTGTGCAATTTTGCATCTGGAATTATGAAATTAGGGCACAGTGTAGATAGCCGTGTTGCCATTTTCTCTGATACAAGAGCTGAGTGGCTCATTGCCCTTCAGGTAAATTGCTTCATTTCATTCACTCATTCCATTTTCTTTTGGGTTATTGTTCTGCATCCACTCATTGTAATGAAAATCTTGCTAAACTTTAGGGTTGCTTCAGGCAGAATGTCACAGTTGTTACCATTTATGCTACACTTGGTGAAGATGCCCTGGTCCATTCACTAAACGAGGTAGGAAGTGATTATAGTCTAAATTACAATTTTGAGCTTCTCTAATTTCTGATTGGCGATCTTGGTTTTTCTATTATTTTAGAATCCTTGTTTTAGAAAGTATGTGATTTGATCTAATCCTCAATTTTACTTATATTTTGTTTATTTTAGTTTGGTCTAATTGAACGCTAGATCTAACATATTCATTTCAAGTATTTTCAAAGAATAATTAAATTAATTGAATGTTAAAAACAAATAGACTTGTACAAAATTGAGAATTTGACCAAAGTATGCAGACAAAATCATGAAAACAAATAGACATCAAAATCACAGATCGGAAAGTAAAAAATCATCAAACTTACAAATAAATCATTACTATATATCTTGCGTAATTTGCATCTTAGAGACGAGATGAAATAGTTGTATCTGATCCTGTATTTTAGATGAAGCAAATCCAGAATGGTGAAATATTATAGAATCTAAAAGTGGTAGACATTTTCTCACTTTAAGCTTTGGGATGTGAACAGACTGAAGTATCTACTCTGATATGCGAGTCCAAGTTGTTGAAGAAGTTGGATGCAATAAGATCAAGACTAGTCTCTATCCAAAATGTAATTTACTTTGAAGATGATAGCAGTGAAGAAGATGCTTTCTCAGGAAGTTTGAGCAACTGGCAAATTGCATCTTTTAGTGAAGTTGAGAAACTTGGTAAAGAAAATCCTGTTGAACCAAACTTGCCTTCCAAGAATGCTATTGCGGTTATCATGTACACAAGTGGCAGTACAGGTCTGCCAAAGGTTTGTTTCTTCTTCTAGTTTTGTAACACGTGTCTATTTTTGTGTGTTTTGTGTATGCTTGTTAGAAAGTCCCAACAAATGTGGTTCAGAAACATGAGTACACTTGGGTCTTGGTATGACTTTATTGTCAATAATGACCTAGGGTGATAAAATATCCACAGGAACCATATTAAGATTGTGTAAATATAATGAAATTTTTCTGTCTGGAATAATGCTCAGTTCCTTGGTTTTCTCTTATTTGACAGGGTGTTATGATTACTCATGGGAACATTGTCGCCACAACCGCGGCTGTTATGACAGTGATTCCAAATTTGGGTAGCAAGGATGTGTACATGGCATACTTGCCCCTTGCTCATGTTTTTGAAATGGCAGCAGAGGTAATTTCTTCTTAGCCTTCTTCTAACTGTGAAAGTAGATGATGATATTATCTCTTAAGATTCTATTCTAACTCCCTGTGGTTGTCCAGTGTGTTATGCTAAGTGTAGGTTGTGCCATCGGTTACAGCTCTATTCTGACTTTGACTGACTCATCCAGTAAAATCAAGAAAGGAACCAGGGGAGATGCCAATGTGTTAAAGCCCACCCTTTTGGCAGCTGTACCTGCTATTATTGATCGTATTCGAGATGGAGTTGTAAAAAAGGTATGAATCAAACTAACATTTTTATATGTATAGTAAATTGAAAAGAAAATGGTATGCTAGCTAGCTAACTCTGAAAAGGATCTAGTACTTCAACAATTCGTAAACTAATTAACTAAACCTTAGCTTATGGATGCTGTGTGGTTATTATAGGGACTCAACACTGTAAAATAGAGAATACACAATAAATGTAAAGAACAACAAAATGATTCTATTTGTTTGAAAGCAAGAAATACAGAAGGAAGAGAAATCCTGCTATCGAGAGCACAAGCTCCCTTAGAGCACCTACAAAGGCCCTCTACCCAAAGCAATCAACTCAATCGAATCTCCCAAAAAGGTCTTCACACCTGATTCTAAAATACAATCGAAATTCCCCCTTTTTCTCTCTCCTCTGACTAACCTCTTTCCCTTAGTTTGCCACGTCATCCTTTCTAGGTTTCTTCCTCACATACACCCTTCCCATCTACGTGTATTAGTTTCTTGGATCAATGGCCCATTATGCCCATTTGTATTAGTACATTCTCATCAATCCCAAATGGTCCATAATACTTGGCACTAAGCTTGGGACCGATTCTGCTTGTTACTGATTTCTGTCAATGCTGTTTTAGCTTAAAAAAAAAACCATATCCCCCCACTTCAAACTTTCTTTTATACGCTTATTTGCTTGAGTTCTCATTCTGTCTTGAGCCCTCAGCAAATGACGCTTCAACTAACGCGGAGCCTCATGTCGGTCCAAATTTGGGCTGCTTCTTTTCTTATCTATCCTGTGATGAAAATTTGAGAGTGTTGTGTATATGTATTTTTATATATTATATAAGTATATTTTTATTAATATATTTTATGGATATATAGAGTAAAAATATTACAAAATATCAAATATCAATAATATCTTAATCATAATGACCTAAATCAAAATAATAACTTAATATATTTTTACCTTCTCTCTTAAAAGATAATAAAATATCTTAATACATAACTTAAATAAAAGATAATAAAGTAATATTCTCAACATTCCTCCTTATTTTAATATCTATTTATTTGAATTTGATATTTTTTTCTTTTATTTTTTTTATAATTTTTCTTCCTTTTTTATTTGTATTTCTTGTTATCTTTTTTTGTATGAGATCACATCTTCATTCAACTTCATTTTCTTCATCAAAGTATTCCTTCCTTTATCAACTTCATCTCCTTTATTTCTTTCAAATTTCTTCATGGTAATACCGTTGACTTTTTTATGAAAGTTGGAAATGGTTTCTTCATCTACATCTTTATTTTCCTCCTTAACATCAAGTTCCTTCAAGAAATCTTCTTCATGTTTTTTCTTTGACTTATATGCTCTTTTGTAATCAACTCTTCTTTCATCAAATCTAAAGTAAAACTTTTTCTTTTCATATGAACTTTGAATATTTCCAAGTTATTTGTATCTTTAATCACACAAAATTTGTGTTCAAAAGATACCTTATAACTTTTCTCCAATAATTGAGCAACACTTATCAAATTATGATTAATATCAGGAACATATAAAATATCAAAAATTAATTTGATACCCGAATGACTTTTAACTGTAATTGTTCCTATATTTTTCACATCCATTTGTTCTCCATTACCTATTCTCACTTTAGAAATATGTGACTCGTTGAGCTCTTTGAAAAATTCTCGATCATGAGTCATGTGGTTTGTACAACCACTGTCTATAGGCCAACCTATGGATTTGTTGTTTGTAGAACATGTTGATGCAAGGAGAAACTCTCATTCTACTTCATCCTCTATAACTTGAAGAAGTTCCCCTTCTACTCCATCCTCTATAATCTTGACGGCTACTTCTAGTTGTGATTTGCATATCTTTTTTATATGTCCCAATTGACCACATTTTCGACATTTCACATCAAGCCTCCACTAATACTTGTTGGGTGTGTGATTATTTTTCTTACAATAAGGACAAACAGAAAAGACTCGTGATTTTGTACCTTTATTGTTCTTGGCTTGGAGAGAACCTCCATCGTGAAATAGTAAAAAACCTTCACCAGCATGATCTCCTCTCATCAATCTCTGTTGCTCTTGCGCTTGTAAAGCATGTAGCACTTCTGCCAAAGTAATATTAGACAAATTCTTTGTATTTTCCAATGAAGCAATAAATGCTTCATATCTCTCTGGCACCGTTACCAGAATTTTTTCAACTATTTTGGAATCAGAAAATTCTTTGCCTAACAATTTTATTTTGTTAACAATACCCAACATTTTGTTTGAGTATTCATTAATTGTTTGAAACTCTTGCATTTTTTGTATCTTAAATTCCCTTATCAAGTTTAGAACTTTTATACCTTGAATTTTCTCATCCCGTTCATATTTATCTTTCAAATAATCCCAAATTTCTTTGGGTGATTTTAGTGTCATGATTCTTGTGAGGATCATTTGTGAAACACCATTTAACTTTTGCCTTCCTTGTTTTTCTTTCTCTGTGAAATTTCATTTCAGCTATGGTAGAATTTTCAGGTAGTGGATCAATATAATATTCTTCTACAACTTCCCATACATCCAATACTTCAAGATAAGATTGCATTCTTACAACCCATAAATCATAACTTTCGCCATAAAAAACTGGAATAGCGACTTGTGAAAAATTTCTTTCTCCTTCCATTGTATCGAACCAAAGCTCTTGATACCACTGATGGGAATTTTAGGGTTTTGTGTATATGTATTTCTGATATATCATGTGAGTATATTTCTATTCATGTACTCTATGTATATATAGAGTAAAAATATTACAAAATATCAAATATCAATAATATCTTAATCATAACTACCTAAATCAAAATAATAACCTAATATCTTTTTACTTTCTCTCTTAAAAGATAATAAAATCTCTTAATACCTAATTTAAATAAAAGATAATAAAGTAATATTCCCAACAACTTGAACTACCTATACAATCTTTGGTGGTGGGCGTCCATAAACTGCGTCAAAAGGTGTCGTTTTTGTAGACTCGTGATAATTGGTGTTAAACCAATATTTTGCCCATGGGAGCCCTCTTACCCAATCTTTGGGTTGATCAGAGATGAAGCACCTTAAGTAGGTTTCAAGACAGCTATTTGTCACTTCCGTTTGTAAATGATAGGATGTTCTCATTTTTAATTTAGTTTCTTGCATCTTAAAGAACTTCTGTCAGAATGAGCTCATAAACAAGGGATCACGATCACTTACAAGTGAGTTTGGTATGTCGTGGAGTCTTACTACTTCTCTGACAAAAATTTCAGCAAGTGTTCTAGCTATGTAAGCATGTTTGATAGGTACACAGTGGCAGTATTTGCTCAATCGATTCATTACTACCATGATAGCCTCGTGGCCTTTGGACCTAGGCAACCCTGTAATAAAATCAATGTTACATCTTCCCAGATTCGTTCAGGAATGGGTAAATGTTGAATAAGTCTACTAGGTGCAGTAGTGATATACTTTTGTTTTTTCCAAACATCACAAGCTTGGACAAATCTTTGAATATTCCCTTTTAATTCCCTTCCAATAGAAATGTAACACGTCTATTAGTTCGATAGAAACCAGAATGCCCACCCATAGGAGTGGCATGGAACTCTTCTAGAGGCTTAGGAATCCATGCTGAATTCTCTATAATTACCACTCTATTTTTGTAAAACAACACCCCTTGTTTGTAGGAAAACCCCTGATAGGATCTAGCCTCATTCCCTTTCTGCACTTCTTCAATTATTTTCTTAAATTTCTCATTTTCTTGGACTTCTACAATCAGTTCTTGGCAATCTAGCCAAACAAGGATATAAACCATATTGTTTAGCTTCACATGATCTCTAATTCACGAGAGGTAATATGCTCCTCGATTCTCAACTCCTGGTTTATAAACTATCTTGAAATTGTAGCCCACTAGCTTGGCTAACAAAATTTTTTGTCCCTTGTTGTAAAATATTGTCACCGCTGGACACTGCTCTAGGGATGACAATTAAACCCGTATCTATAAGAACCGATTCATTTCCGTCCCAAATTTGACAGAAAAAAACCAAATTGACCGGAGGGAAGCGGGGATGGGAACTGCAATCCTCACCTTAGCCGCGTCCTCGTCCCCGCCCTAACTTAAATTTAAATTTTAAAATATTAATATTTTAAAAATATTTCATTTTCTATTTCTGTTATATAAATATCATTTTTTTATATTTCACTGCTTTTATTTTTCTTCTATCCATTTTTTAATTATTTTGACTTTTTTAATATTTTATATCAATTAGTTCATTACTTTATTTTCTTTCTCTTACCTTTCACTTTTTCATATTTCTTTAATCTCTCCAATCAATTTGTTCTTTTTAATCTTTTTAATCAATTTGACGAATACATAATTTTTTTTCTTCTTTATCTTTTTCTAAATATTTTTTACATAAATCTTAGTAATAACTAATATTATCTTATTTATAATTTATCTTTATTAGGTTTTATTATGTCATATTTTTTGAATCTTATTATTTTTATTTGTGATATATCAAATTTTATCTTAATAAAATAATTGTATTTTAAAAGATTAAAAAGAATTGATAATTTAAACTTTTATTATTTTGAACTAATTAAATAAGAAGTAACTTATTAAATATTTTCTTATAAACTATATTTCATATTTTTAAATGACAACTTAAAAAATAATTAACTTATATATGTAATCAAATGTTTGAATACAATATAATAATAATAATAATAATATTATTATTATTATTATTATTATTATTGTTATTATTATAAGTATTTTATATTTGTATAAAGAAAAAATGATTAAATATTTATTTTACATACATATTTTAATATAAATATATAATAAATTAATATATATATATATATATAATTAATAATAATTACAAATTATAAAATTAGAAATATTTATTTGTGTATAAAAAAATACATAAAAATATTAAAATTAATTTATTAAGTATAATTATTTTGTTAGAAATAATGTAGATCGAGGATGGGACTGGAAAACTCGAAACATAATAGGGACGGGGATGAAGACTTATTTTTTAGCCTCGAAGGGATTGGGGGCGGTTAAAAAAGTCGGGGGTAGGGTTGGAGAGGTAAAACCCGCCCCCGCCCCATTGCTATGCCTAGTCGCCGTTGTCTACCGTCGCTGCCACCATCTGTCGTTGCTGCTACCAGTGCTCGCTGTCCATTTA